ACAGAGAAAATTGATCAAGCATCAATGAATTTGTAAACTTGAAGTCAACAAAAATAGAAAGAAAGAAAAGAAAGAAATTGATTAGCTAAACACTTTTTTTTCCACTTGGCTATCACAATTTTTTTTTTATTGGGGCCAATTTTCTTACAAAATGTTTTTTTCTTCTTCTTCTTCTTCTTCTTATTCTACTGAAGTAGAAATAGCCAGAAAAAAAACTGCGACAGGCCTTTGATCTTTAATACGGAATTTTTTTTTGTTTGTTTGTTCATTCATTCCGTTCGGTAATATTGATTTTTTTTTCATTCATTTTTTTTTCATCTAACCATTCGTTGTTTAGTCATTTATTTATTCATCTTCTATCCATTCATTCAATAATAACAGTAAATTTTTTTCTGTTCGGCTAACAAATTAAAGTTTTTTTTTCGTTCTTCGAATTTCGTTGTGACAACAACAACAAAAAAAAGTACAGTGTGAAGAGTGGTTCAGGGAAAAAAAGTGCTTTGCGTTTTTTTTTTTTTTTTTGCTTCATGATCTCTCTGTATCACACATTGATTTCGGGTGATCCGGCTGTAGTTAACTGTTTTTTTTGGCTTTCATTACTTTCATTGCATTCATTGCAATTCGGATCAAGTTTTGTTATGGCTAGCCGCAAGTTTTATATACGATTTTTTTTTTCTTCCTGATACAAAAATATGGAAATATATATTGAATTTATAAAGGCAAACTATGCAATGGAATTTACATGAATCCAAAAACATTTATTTTTCTAAAAAAAAAATGGGAGCGATAGAGAGCGAACAAAACATTATTATGCGTACAAAACTTTTTTCCTTCCTTCTCGTTCGTTTGTTGTTATTCAACTTGGTATTGACTTGGTTCGGCGACAAAAAAGAAAAATTTAACGATTTCTTTCTCTCTCTCTCATTACTTTTACCAATGAATGAATGAATGAATGAATATTTTGATGCTTGAACTTGTTTGTTTGTTTGCTTGCTTGCTTGTTTTTTCATATTATTATAGATTAATAATTGATCATTCTTTACTTTACTTTACTTTTTTCTTCTTCTCTCTTTCAATTTTTCCTATGTGTTTGTTATATATAAATCAATATAATTCAGTAATATACATTCCATATTTGTTTGACATATGTTCCAAAATGATCAAAATGAATGAAATTTTTGTTCATATAAATCTTGTATTTTTGGCAAATGTAAATTATCAAAATATGCATCTTATTTGATAATACAGTTGAATATTGAAAAACAATAACAACATTCAGATAACGATTCTATATATAATGATTGACGGTCAAATAATAAGAAGAAGAAAAAGAAGAAGCGAAATACCGCAAACCGCTTTTTCAATTCATTCATATAATAATAACCAAAAACAAAAATTAAACGAATCTTTTTCAGTATCGTTTGTTTGTTTGTTATTATTTTCTCAGTTATTCACTTCATTCATTCATTCATTCATTCATTCATTCATTCATCATTATAATCAATTGTTTTTGTCATTTCTGAGAATTTTTTTCTATGTATAATGGAAATGAAATGAAAAAACATTATTATTAGAATCGGAATGATCTTGATGATATGAAATTTTCAATTATATTCGCTTTTTATTTGATTTGATTCGATTTTTTCATTCATTTATTTATAAATCATCACATGAAAACGAAGCAAAAAGCAGAAAAATAACAAAATTATTCCTGGGAGATTTTTTTTGCATCCAAAAAAAAAACGAAAAATTCACAATGGGATTATAACAAATGAAACAATGTAAATGTAACTAATGAGCTAATAGCGACAACAACAACAACAACAACAACAAAATCCCGAATAACCGGGTAATAAAAATAAGATCAAAAATAGAAATTTTTGTCTATTTTGTTTTTTTTGTTGTTATGTTCAACATTCGATAATTAACCAATTATTTTGATATTATAGAAATGATTTCATTTCTATCATTTCCATAAGGTTAATCTTTTTCTTTTTTTGTTGGTTGTTATCAATGGATTTTGTTATCTTCTTGGTTTTCTTCATCGATGTTCGCTTGTTAACAACTTTTAATCTTAATTATTTTCGTCGTTTTCTTCTTCTTATTCTGCTGAAGAAAACGAAATAAATTCTTTAATGGGCAAAACAAAGCAAAAAATCATTTCAATTCACGTCAACTATATGATTTTCTTTTCTTTTCTTTCTTTTTTTCGTCTGTTGTTCATTTATTTCTTCCTCTTTTTTTTTCTTCTGTAAATTATGTTTATGATGTGTACTTTGTTTTGTTTATTTGTTAAAATAGACGCCCAGAATATAAACCTTATTAATATAGTGGTTACCTTATGAAAATTTTATTTTTTCGTTTTTTTGTGACCCAATTTTTTTCTCTGTATTGTCGGTCGATTTCATGGTTTCTTTTTTCTTTTTTTTTCTTTGTTCTGTACGAATATCATTATTATTATGTTTATTGTTGTTGTTGTTGTTGTTGTTGTTGTTGTTGTTGTTGTTGTTATCGTTTTCAATGAGCTAATGATATTCGATAATTATTCATCATATTCATTTTCATTTTCATTTTCATTTTGTAACGAATAATGTTTTTTTTTTTGGTTTTTTCGTTGAATTTTTTCATTTTTACATATGTTTGTTTGTTTGTGTAATAATGGATTCAATATGACACTTGTATAATAACCTGGTTTGAATATCACACAGGGGAAAAAAAACATTGTCAAAATCCAATTGAGTGACAGGAGACCAGAATTAAATTCACCAAAAAAACAACTTATTTGTTTGTTGAAAACAAGAATTTTTCTTCAAAATTTCAATTTTTCTTGAAAATCCTGAAGTTTTTTTTTGTCCAAGATAAAGAAACGAAAGAAAGAAAGTCAATTTTGTTGACAAATTGAAACATAATTGCGTCCACACTATATTTTGATTTGTTTTGTTTTTTTTTGGTTGCATTCCAAACGCACACACACACACTATATATATTAACATCAAACAGAATTATGTTGTTGTTGTTGTTGTTGATGTTTTTCCTTCTCTGTACATTTTATCTTATATCCAAAAGACAAAAAAAAAATGATGAAATTCCAGAAGAAAAAAACTGTTCGTTCGACCGACCGACAGCAGTCGTTTTGATGGAAGTTTTTAGATTGAAAATAACGGGGAAAAAAACACTGTGTGATTTGTCAATAACTTTCTTTCTTTTTTTTTTTTTGTTATTATTTCCCATATCTCTTTTTTGTTTTGTTTTGTTTTGTTGCATAAGTTAAAAACCAATGATGGCGGGAAACAAAAGAAAATTTTTAGCTTCAAATCATATATGATGACCATATCTGCCTCCCCACATCCAATTTGATGTATATATAAACACACACACACACACACAGTAGCAGCTGTCGCCCAATGTTGTTGTTGTTGTTGTTGTTGTTTTCGATAATTTTTCTATTTGAAAGAAACAACAACAACAACAACAAACATAAAGACGGTAAAAATGTAAACGCAATTCTTTGTTGTTCTTCTTGAATTTTTTGTATTGATTCATATACAATAGTTTTTGGATAATATGATTATATTTCGATGAAACAATTCCTCACGTTTGTTGTTTGTTGTGTGTGTGTGTGTGTGTTTATTATCAATTTTCGTTCGTTTTTCTGGATTCTCTTTTTTTTACAAAAAACAAAAAATTTTAAATTTTTTTACTTTACTTTTTCCCTGCCAATATTGTTGGATTCTTTGCTTTTTTTTGTTTTTCCAAAACATTTGAAATTTGATATTTTTTTCCTAAACCAAAAAAATTCGCTCTTTTTTTCGGTTACGTAATAAAATCAGTTGATTCGGTCAATTTTTTCTTCTTCTTTTTTTCGATTCAATAGTCAGCATTTACACATACACAACTTCGTGACTACTAATGTTTTCTACTAATGTTTGTCTCTATAACTATTACCGATATTGATATCATCATTAAAATTTGTAATTTAAAATTCCAACAAACTTACTTTTTTACCCAGGCAATTGTGTATTGTGTTTCCCATTCAAACACACACACACACACACACACACACAAACAAACAGAGAACCAAGAATCGCCAGAATCAAACTAAATGAAACAAAAAAGTAAAGAATTTGTTTTGTTTTTTGTTTTTTTGCGGTTGAACAAATTTTCACTTTATTGATCTACATTGATTTTTTGTTATGTGTGTGGGTGGACGAATAGATTGTTTTTTTTCCGAAAAAAAAAGTTTAAAGGAAAATGGCAAAACTCATATTGTTTTGTTATTGCCTTTCAATACACATAATGATCATTATTTGGAAATTAATTTGTATCGAAAAAAAAACGGAAAATCTAAATAAAAGCAAAAGAAATTAACAGAAAGAAGAACTGGATTTATATTTTGTTGTTGTTGTTAATTAAATTGTATTTAATCAACAACAACAACAACAAAAAACCGTTATTTGCTTGTTCTTACCGATTCATTCAATTTTTTCGAAAAATCCAATGACTACTACTGCTGTTTTGTTATAATCGGTCGGTTGTGTTATCTATTTTTGGGTTTTTATACCCAAAAATAGATATCTCGAATATCAAAAAAATGTCATTCGTTATTTTTTTTTGATATATCCGGAAAACGGAAACACAAAAATTGTCAATGTCCATATATAATGTTTATCAAGAATGATATCACCATCATCATCAAACCATAAAACAAACAAACAAAAAACTTCCGTTAATTTTTCTATTATTTTTTTTCAGTTTGTTTAATGATGATTGCCTATATTATCACATTACTTTTTTTTCTGGTTTTCAAAGTTTGTTTCACTTTCGGATTCGGATTCATTCAATTTATCTTTTTTTGTTTTTCATTCTGTTTTTGGAAACAATACATAAAAAAAACTTTTCTATTAACCTTTTGATTGATATGAATTTTTCCATTTTAAATATTTAATTTGATTGAAAATTTTTTCATTTTTTTTCTTCTTAAATGATGTTTTCTTTTCTAGCTAACAATCAGACAAATATCAGAGGAAATTTTAATGAAAAAAATAACAGTGATATAATCGGTGGTATTGATAATATTTCATCATCATCAACAACGATATCATCATCTAATAATATTCATTCATCATCCGCATCATCATGTGATCGTTGGTTTTCATCCGAACTACATCCAAATGGTACATTTACATCACCAAATTATCCTGAACCATATCCAACACAGATACGTTGTAGTTATCATTTTGTTGGTCATGGTAAACAACGTGTACAAGTGATATTTATGGATTTTGATGTACATAAAGTTGAAGATCAACATCGTGAGTAAGTATTTATTCTGATTTATTTAATTATAATAATAAAATAACAAACTATTTCCACCCAATAGACAGACAAACAAACAAAAAAAAAAGACATCTGAAAAAGAGAATTTTCATTTGTATTTTTGTTTTCTAAAAAATAATTTCAATTTTTTTTTGTTTTTTTTTTAAATTATAATTATCGTTTGTTTTCTGAATTGAATACATAGTTGTTGTTGTTTTATGTTGTATGTTATTTATCTATCGGAATTTTGTCATCAAATGTTCACTATATGTGGGCGTTGAAAATTCTTTTCTTTCTTTTTTTTGCCAACCCAATAGACACAGACATAGGAATATGATTAAAAGATTGCAGAGAAAGGGAGAGAAAAGCGGTCTATCAAAATGATGATGGTAGCAAAAAAAAAAAAAAAAAAAAAAAAAAAAAAAAAAAAAAAAAAAAA